GAGAACTCTTTGCATGCAGTGACTTTTGCACAAAACCACTAAATAAAACGTTAGGAGCTAGCGTTAGCCTGAGAGCTAACGTTGTGCACATAGCTGAAACGGCTAACAAACGTGCGATTCTCCGACCGTACAAGCACACAGGGCAACAGACTGCACATTCACACTCTCTGACGGCCCTCGGTTATTACACTCACCTGTTAATGTGACCCAAATAAGAAGAAAAAAGTCTCCTCGCTTTTTTGCGAGCTAATGCTGCTAACAATGTTGTTGTTGTGCTACGAGTTCCGCTTCTTCTTCTTCTTTTGATAAGGTAAACTACCGCCACCTACTGGACTGGAGCGAAGGTTCTATCTATCTATCTATCTATCTATCTATCTATCTATCTATCTATCTATCTATCTATCTATCTGTGTTTTAATATTACAATTTTAAATAGAAACATATAAAAATTATAAATGTGAATAAAAACTAAGAGGCAGAAACAGAATTTGTGACCTATCTCTACTGCAATTTTCATTTCTGTTATTGTTTTGGCCTTTTCTCTTTTGTAATGGTTGTTCTTAATTATTTTATTTAATCACTTTCACGCATCTTACATCATCATGGTCACATGTCATGGTAACTTTGGCCTTTTAATAAATTCTTTGAACTGTTTTCTTTCCAGGGTGTAGTGATTGATTATAGCACACATCTGTAATGACTAAAAAAAGAAAAGAAAAGAAATTCAGATGCACAAGTTTAATTTTAATTTGGATTTTCTCTAATCCACACATGGTCAAAAGTATATTCCTCCACTAAGCTTTGGGTTAATGTCCTTTGGTAAGATGCTTTTGGTAGCCATAAACAACCGCATACTTCCAGCTGGATTGGCCACTGTTCTTGGCAGCATGGCAGAGTTAATTAAAGCTTGTTGGTTTTCTGAGATGGACCATGGAGCCATTGGGAAGGCCTATCCCTTCTGTAAAGGTTAGCCTGCTTTATCTATTCTAAAAACAGTTTTGATGTGTGTTTGGAGTCATTGTCCCATCAGAACACCCAAATGTGCTCATGTTTCAACCGTCTGGCTGTATCTTCTATTGCTCTATTACATCCACTCTGTGAAATGAACCAGTACCACTGGCAGCAACATTTGGTTTTACAGATTTTATATTTAAATTCACTTCAGTTCCTCATGTTGAGCTAAAAACAAAAAACATGCATTTGTTAAGTAGTTTTGAGACTTTATTTCAAAGTGTGTGAGCACAGAAACACACGTTACAGGAACAGACATGTTACGTTGCCACTTTTGTTTTGTTATGGATCCTCTTTGAGGAAAACTGCATTTCTTTTCTGTCACTCAGGGATCTTAAAGCATGTTTCTCCATTTGGCTCTGAACGTGCGGTGAAGTCCAAACTGGCAATAAAGTGTGCTGTTAGCATCCTAAATCATCAGCGGTGAATATATCTCCCATATAAAAACACAGGCATGTTTTCCTTTCCATAAAATTTAATGTACACATCATTACCTTCCCATTCCCTCACTTCTCAGTAAATAAAACCAGGGGATAGTGTCATGACTCAATAATTACAAATCTAGATTACAAAAAAAGGCAATACAGACACAAATGTACTATGTGGCGCAGCGTTAAAGTCAGGGCTACCAGCAGAGAGAGACGCGCTAGAGGTCGTAGTGGTTACAAGTCATGCTGTAGCTTCCACTGTCCAAGCACAGATGAACTTGTTTGACTCAGAGGAAAACCAAATTTAATGCAAAAACAGATACAATTTCTAATTTTTTGTGTGTTTTTGTATTTGTTTTTGCAAAATCTATATTTAAAGGCACAGAATTGTCCTTTAGCCATCTTCTTACCTGTCCGAGGACACAAAAACAAAAGAAAAGAAAAGAACTGAGTAACAACATCATAGACCTTTGCGCTAACATGATTTGCTGAAAAATACAGTAAGCACTATGTACAGCAATAATTCATCTATCAGAGAGCGTATGTTTTGTGTCTTTTTGCAAAATGCAAGCGAATGGTAGCCTTAAAAAGTGTGATATAATCAAAAGAAATACTTGTTTGGTCGCAGCATAGAGAAAACCTGTGAGAGTGGAGGTGGAGATATGTATGCCCCTTTGATGTTATGAACCATCTGTGTCCACATCAGTGCAATAACAACAGCTCTCTATTGTCATTTCAGCTGTTGCACAGAAAAATCTGACTTGACCTTTAAAGTCATACTAACGGTAACGTAGCAGCAACCTGAGAGTCCCACTGTGAAATGTACACAGGCTTACGTGAAGCTTACACTGGGACTTTGACATGTTTAGGAATACTTTAGATTGTTTCTAAGTTCCTTCTGTTCCCCAAAACAGATGATGCTTCTCACCTTCTATATGAAAACCAGCACCTAAAGAAATGAAACTTGCTTTGTTTATATGTATGAGTCCAATAAACAAAATACTTCTAGTCTTTTTTTGTTTATACAACAAATAATTTGCTAATGAGTTATAGTTTTCCACAGATTTTTAAATCTTTACATGAAGCTAAAACTCCTTTAATTCACACGTCCGATTGTAAGGCACCAAAAAATAATCCAAATATCACAAAAACTTAAAAACAAAGGATAGCTTCAACACCATTTTTACCTCAAGCAAGTCACATGTCTTGGCAAGTTGATTTTCAAACCAATAATGAAGTGGCCGACATCAAATATACTGCAGGTATTGATGCAACACATGATAAAATCCCCAGTGTGTTTACAGTGGGCACCTTCGTGGTGCTAAACTGCCGTAGAATAAAAAGTTTATGAAGAAAACAGGTTTCATCTTCCCAAAGATGGGATTTCAATGAAGCTTTATATCTGCTTTGCTCAGATCAGCCCAATAAGATAATGCAAACTCGCTTTAAAACCTTAAAATCAACCAGCAATCTGTAATTTTACTCTCATCTCACATTAAGCTCTTATGTACCCACTTCAAATATGATCAGCCCATTGAAAAGCATTTGTAGGCTTGTCTGTCCCATAGATATGACAGTCAGACGTCTCTCTGTACCAACATTGTAGTAAAATCTGAGGAAGCCCTTTAAAATTGACCTTTCTCATAGATTACAAATACTTTATGCTTGTCTGTGTCTTAAACCTAACTGAACAGCAATCATGAGTTCACGAACAATCAGCCCGTCTCCACTTTCCACTAGTCAGCATTAAAAGAGTTGGTGTAGAGACTTTCTGCCTGCTGTCAGTATCTATGGGAGCGAAAACAACCAATAACAGCCAACTTCCTGAGCTGATAACCTTTAAATTGGGTGCTTAACGTGTGTGCGGGGCACTTGTTTGCTAAGTGGGGGTGGGGGCACTCTCCGAGGTAGCCGAGAATGATTCTCGCTGACATCTGTCACAAGAAAGCTGACACGTAATAAACACATACATAAACAATAGCACCATTATCAGTGATAATCTCGAGAAGATCGCTCACACTGGAACTCTTCTCTTTCCTCCTCCTACCTCCAGCTTCTTCTTCTTTTTTTATAAGCCATTCATTCCTACAGGGGATTAAAAAAACTCTCAAAATGGGGCCGATGTCGCTCGACTCGATTCTGAAACCATCACAGCACAGGAGAAAGGTCCATTCAGTCAGTCACGTGTTCTTTTTTAAATCCATCTCATCCTCCATCATAAATTCTTGAAATGTTAGTGAATCCCCTCCTGATGTTTCCCCGCCTCACTCCTCCATCTTTCACCTTTGCCTACTACAAGATCTTGCTGCACACTTGGCAGCGGCTGACTCTGAAGCGCTCCTGGCCTCCCTTCAGCGTCTCCTTGGTTGGCGAGAAGGTAAACTCATTTTCTGGATCCACGGTTGTCAGCCAGAAGCTGTATTTATTGGCAAAGTAGTGGCAGGTGCCCCTGGCGCCGTTGCACTCGATGAACGGAGTCGCCCGGAAGTCCTCCAGACAGGAACCAGGAGACACCAAGGACTGACCGCCGCCCTCTGCACCAGCTGCTGTGTGCTGTGTCAGAAATGAAAGGACTTTTTTTTTTAAAAATATGACATCTCTGAAGACAATTTGGCAGTATGCAGAACCATGGGGAGAAATAATCTCTTCATCTATATGCTGGTCTAAATCTGTTTGGTAGAAGCTGCCATTAACTACGTACCATTAGGAAGGAGTATCCTATCCAGAGACTCCTCCAGCCGATAGGACAGTTGGGGATTTTAATATCCTGACTGTGGACCGCCACTGCCTGAGATGGAGCCTCACATACTGAACACCTGTGTTATTCATATAATCAGATGAAAGCTTCATTAATTGTATGCACATGTATATGACAGGCAGCTTGACTAAAGTAACACAGTGTACAATACCTGCTGATGTAAGGTCTTATCTCCTCCTTTTCCACGGGCATCATGGGTATGGATGCGGTCGTGGAGAGCCAGTAGGATTTATCATTGCGGCTAGCGTAGTAGCAAATCTCGCTGGGCGAGCAGTAGAGGAAGGGGATCGTGTTGAACCTGGGGAGACACGACCCCGGCTGACCTGAAGAGACAAAAGGAGGTTTTAAACCTTTAATTGTGCCACACAAAGACTGCTATAACTAGTATTTATGGTTCATAAGAGCCTGAGAGTGTTTTCATACCGAGGTCTTGGTTGTGTGCCTTCTCCTGTCCCTCTACATACAGCAGACTGTAGCCCTCCCACAGTTTGGCCATGCCTTGAGGACACATGGGAACCTGGGGGGTCTGGCTGTGCTTAACCAGAGTGTAGCCGATGCTGTGGCTGCGGCCGACGCTGCCGGGAATGCCGGGAGGGCCAATTGTACCAGGTAACCCTGAAGAAGACGGGGGAAAGAATAAGAACATGCTAGAAGTGATAAGCTATTAAAAAGTCGAAGATAAACAAAAATCCTGACCTTGTGCTCCCGGGGATCCAGGGAAACCAGGAGGTCCGGGATCCCCAAGAGGTCCTTGAAAACCAGGACCTCCAGTCCTGCCCAGTCTACCCGATGGACCAGGGTTACCCACAGCACCTGCAGCAGGAGAATATTTTACACTGCATATCATTCATTTTTATCTTCTCCCTTTATTATTGTTTTTTTCTCTCTGTACATTAAAACATGCCAGATTAGCTGCATATAATTTATATTGATGTTGGGGGGAAATAGATTTTAAAACTCTATGTTAAAAACGTTTGCCTTCTTTCACTTTGTTTGCATTTGAATGGAAGCAAACCAGCCTATCCTAAGCTGAACAAACAGCTCCTGTTTTCTGCAGGATATGAAGGATAATGCTCCTCCATTGCCATCTTATTGTGATGGAGGGATTTGTGTGTCGTAGAAACTATGTTGTTGGTGGCAATTTACCTCTGGTATGTTCTCCCAAAGCAACTTATTCTGGGTGAAAAGGGTAAACTAAGTTTGAATCACGCAAACCATTTGGATCATTGTTCCTTGGCTGGACTGGAGTTAAAGACACGGAGAGATGAGAATTAACATCTCAAAGTTCAAGGCCATGGTCCTCAGTTGGAAAAGCGTAGAGTGCCTCTTTGGGGTAGGGGACAAATAACTTCCCTCTTATACAGTATCTCTGGGTCTTGTTCACAAGTGAGGGGAGAGAGGAGCAGGTGGCTGACAGATGGATTCAGGGTGCCTCTGCAGTAATGTGAATGCTGCATTGGTCCATCATGATAAAGAGAGAGCTGATTTACTGGTCAATCGACATTCCTACTCTTACTCATGAATAAGGCCTGGTCAAGAGCTCTGGGTAGTGACTGAAAGAATCAGATCGCAGATTTCTCTCAAGAGTTGTTGGGTTCAGCCTTAGAGACAGGATGAGGAGCTCAGCCACTTGGAAGAGACTTGGAGAAGTCCCTTACTACTCCTTGACATTGAAAGAAGCCAGTTGAGGTTCTTCAGGCATCTGACTAAGGTCCGTCCCAGGTGCTTCGTAGGTGAGGTGTTCTCAGTGAGGGCCCTGAGGCAGATTGAGGACATGCTGGAGAGATTACGTGTGTTGGCTGGCTTGGGAAAACCTTGATGGACCCACCCAAAAGAGCTGGAAGAAATGACTGAGGAGAAGGAAGTCTGGATGTCTCTGTTATAATGGTGCCCCCATAACTCTGTTCAGGTTAAGTGGATGTAGATAGATGGATGCATGCATGCAAAGATGGATGGATATAATTAATAAATTTACACTTTGTTTGTGCCTTCAAACTCACCTTTACGCCCAGGAAAACCAGACTGACTAGGCTCTCCAGGGTTACCAGGGCTTCCTCTTTCACCAGGGAAACCTGGATCACCTTGTGGATATGGCCTATTTGGCAGTGGAGCTGGAAATATGACTCCAGGCAAACCTTTTGAACCTGGAAACCCTGGAAGGGAAAGGGTGGAGAAAAAGAGGGATGGAGGAAAGATAAAGGGTAGAAGAAAATTAAGAAGAAATTGTGGAAAAAAGAGTGGGGGAAATTAAAGACTTATGCTGTCCTACCTCTATTTCCTGCCGTTCCTTTGCTTCCAGGAAAACCAGAGTCACCTCTAAAACCCTGGACACCAGGAATTCCAGCAAAACCACCATCACCCTTTTGTCCTGAAGGGCAAATACATAATGTTTCAGTTTATCTTTTTTTTTTAAATTGAAAACATATAGGAGCAAACATAGAAAAGGAGAAGCAGCATTTTTAGTTCATGCCATGTATTTTAGCCATACTCCACCTTTTAAACCAGGTCTGCCAGGGAATGCAGGACCCCCAGGTAATCCTGGTTCACCCTTTGTACCAGGGGTCCCTGGGAAGCCTGGCAGACCAGGGTCACCTCTGTCTCCCTGAGCTGTGCCTGGACCAGGCGGGCCGGGAAGACCTGGAGGACCTTGGACACCTGTAAGAAAGAAAAAAGGAGAGGAAGAGAGAAATTCAATTCAAGGAAGGTTGAATAAATTAAAGTTAAATGGAAAAGAAATAAAAACTAAGCATAGAAAAGTATAGGAGAATATAAAGGGAAAAAAGAAAAAATGTGAAAAAAGAAGAGAATGGAAAACAAAATCATCAAAATTGATTAAGGAAATGTATTTACCATACTGTCCATCCAGTCCAGGGAGACCTGCATCTCCTGTAGGTCCAGGAAAGCTTTCTATTGATCTGGGTCCAGGAGGTCCAGGAATACCCGGGATCCCTTTCAATCCAAAAGGACCTGATATACAGAAAGTAAAAACAATCTATTGCTATATATATATTATTGCACATTGAATCTGCACATTTTTTATTTCATTGAAGTCTATTTCACCTGGTTCTCCTCTTTGTCCTTTTTGGCCGGGATACCCTGGAACACCGGGTTGGGAAACACCTCTTTCTCCCTTCAACCCTGGACTACCAGAAAGGCCAGGGCTACCTCCCAGAATTGCACCTAGATTAAAAAACATAAAGTTGTTAAATCTTCTGTCTTTGCAAGCCTAAAACAATCAGAAGTATGTTGACCCTGATGAAGAGGGTGAAAAGGTTGAGCTTTGCCAAAGTTGTATGTCTCACAGCTTTGAATAATGAACTTTCCTTTTCTGCAGACACACAAAGGGCCAAAATGCTAAACAGCTCATCTTTCCTCAGTTATCGAGCCATAACTACTTGATACATTCATCTAGTCTTACTGGATCATGCTAAGATTAGCTTTAGCTTTGGATTATCTGGCTTATTGTACATCTCATTTTTGTTTACTGAGTACTGAGTGAGTAGTGAGCTGTGAAATAAAGCAAGAAATATAGAATCAGCTGGAGTGTGAAATGTGATTCTTGCCTGGGTTTCCAGACAGGCCTTTAGGTCCTGCTAGGCCATTAAGGCCATCCAAACCAGGTGGTCCGGAAAAACCTAAAATAACAAAAATAAAACAAACAAACAAAACATTAAAAACACTGGAAAAGACAATTTTTTAACCTCATTTGGAAAAATCATTGTAAGATTAGTGTATGAATGTAGTGGATTTTCTTTTTTCCTTTCACCTTTAAACCCACGATTTCCAGGGAATCCAGGCCGACCAGGAAACCCATCAGGCCCCCTTCCTATTCCTGGCAATCCAGGCTGACCTTTTGGTCCAGGGAAACCAGGAGAGCCTGCAGAGAAGAAAAACTACATCTCAACACTTTCTGTAAATACAAATCTCCACGACGTCATGAAGGAATTACTGCAACAGGACTTTGTTTTCTTAGGTGTTACTCACCCATTATTCCATACCGTCCCTGTTCACCAGGAGTCCCCTTCTGTCCGAGGAAACCTGGATTTCCTGAAAATCCATTATCGCCAGGTTCACCAAATTTCCCTTGGTCGCCTGTCGACATATTTAAAATGTTTTAAAACTTCTGAAGAAATCAGAGATTGGAGAACAACTCTGATCTCCCAAGAAGCTTGTCCCACAGTACTAAGAATTTCTTCACCTGCACTAAATATATTTATTTTACTAAAAATAAAATATAAAGGAAATGTAAATTCTGATCCATGTCAACAAGTTTATAAAATATGACAACAACAACACTACAAGTGATGTGCTGCTCGATGCTTTTCTTTATTTACAGAGATGTGAAAAGGGAAAGACCATCTCTGAATCGAGGAGGGGGCCTAAGGGTACATCTTTCACCATCTTACAATGCTGTGATTGCAGCCATTCCCCAACTCTCTGTGAATGGTACTCATGGCCATTGATCAGTGGTTGCTGATCAATGGCCGTGACAAATAAAGTTTCGCCATAACCGAGTAAGGTGAGTCTTACCTGGGATCCCTGAATCTCCTTGTCGGCCTTTAAGTCCTGGTGCTCCAGGATAACCAAAAGTTTCTCCAGGGAGTCCTAAGAGAAAAAAGCATTTAAGTCAATGGATGTTTGATTTGATTATGAGCAGATGTAAAGAAGATGTTTATCACTGGTGGTAGACTTCATATGTACTAGTGCTGTGCGATATGAACAAAATCTCATATCCCGATATAACACATTTATCGTCCCGACAACGATATAAATCACAAAAATTTAACATTTTCTGTAAATTCTGTGAATCTCGGGCCACTTGCGTGAAGCTGGGTGTCGTGTACCTTATTTTAGGTATTTTCATTCATGCATATTCCAAAATTTGACGTTTGAGAATAATGTATATTATCATCACGTCAGTTTATTTTGAAAAGTTGGAACAGGATCTTCGGCTTTATTGTGACACTTTTATGTGGAAAATAAACAAGCGGATGGCGGAGCCACATGCTGCAAACAACAATGCATGAAAACAGTCGCTTGCCCATGCATAGTGCGTTTTTTTTTAAATATAAGAGTAAGTGAGAACTATTAGAAATTGTTATAGCCACTACAATATTGCCGTAAACAGTTTATTTTGGGACACAACAAAACAAATGATAGTGTAATACAGATGTTTTCATATCATCATCCGATGCATATCGTTATATCCAACAGCACTAATATGTACTCTTACCTTTGGCACCAGACCGACCAACTTCTCCAGGCCTTCCAGATAAACCTGGAAAGCCATTATTGCCCTAAAAAAACCAAACAAACATCCCAATTTTAATCTCTGCCTGGCAAAATTTGCTACATGTATATGCATCTTTTCTTACTTTTGGTCCCATAGTGCCGGGGAATCCCATAATTCCAGATTCTCCTTTTTGTCCAGAGAAGCCTGGAAGTCCTGTTTCCCCAGAAAGGCCAGGTTCTCCTGGCAGCCCTTTACTCTGATCAGGTAAACCAGGAACTCCAGGTCGTCCTGGACGACCAGGTGCACCTGGCTGACCCTTGTCACCTGTTAACCCAGAGAAAGATCAGAGTTTGTAACACAAGGTGATGGATGTTCACAGCAGCAAAAAGCAGTTAAATACTTCATTAGAGAGCCTACATTTTGCAGAAGTGCGAACAGCTGCAGTTCCACTAGTGGGAACTTGGGGCTGGCTCTGAAGGTCAGTATCTGGAGACTCCCGTATCAAAGTGCTAAACTTTACAGCATGTTTTCAGCATGTAACAAAATGCTGTTTTAGGGGTTTACTGATAATTTCCCCTTCTTTAAGAGCACAGTACATGATATTTTGTTTGTTTGTTAAGCTGAGAGGTATCCCAACACAGGCAACTGTAGATGCTCTCTGTCTGCGAGGCAGTATTTCCACTAATCTGAGTCACTGCCCTGGCCCTCTTTATTGTGTTGGTCCTCTCAGCTTCATCCACCAATTCAGTGTTGAAGTCCTCATCCATGAAAAAATTTCTTATTTTAAAAAATATGTAACAAATATGAATCTCTTCTCTAAATGATTTAAAATTCACCAGAAGCTCCTAATAAAGTCTGCAGTTAATTTATGCCCTTCAGATTATCCGGTGACGTTCTGAAAGAAGCAAAGCACTATGTTACCTCTGGGTCCAGTAAAGCCAGAAAGGCCGGTTATTCCAGGGTCTCCGATGTCTCCTTTCTCTACAGGCCCAGATGGAAAAGGTCTACCAGGAAATCCGGCTGGACCAGGTAATCCTCTGTCACCTGCCAAAGTAAAAACAGGAATGTTGGTGCAAAGCCACAGTTCATGCAACTTGACTGATAAATTCTTGGCTCTGAAAGATAACCAAAATGTTGATGACGTGGTTCCAAAACAGGGGTCCCCATCATGAGAGACGGTTGTTGTGGTGGTTCAACCAAACACAGTCTTTGAAAAAACTTCTCATGGTGCCCAAAATTTAGGATGAGCATCTAATGGAGTGAGCCCTGCAGAAACCTACCAACCAATGGGAATGCCTTAGAACAAATGGAATTCAAATGTACAAAAACTAAATATCTGGGATGCCATTAAAAGTCTAACTTGTTCATGTGAGACTGTTTGCAGCAAGTGCCCTTTAGATGCTGTTGTGACAGAGCCAAGTATTAGGCGGGAACAAAATAAACAGAGGGGGAATTGTAGCCATGCGTAACCATGTCACACAGTTTGCCTCATGATAACCTCAAGGAGTAGCATTAGCATTGCTAATTTATTCTTTTATTCGCCCAGGATCAGTATACTTATTCCTTTGGGGGATATTTTACCTTTAGTTCCAAAGAATCCAGGCGACCCAGGGCGTCCATTTGCTCCAGGCACTCCAGGCTGTCCTTTCAATCCGGGAAATCCTGAACTGCCAGGACGTCCTAGGAATCCAGGGAAGCCCATCATTCCTTGGAAGCCTCTGTCACCTGTGGGAATTAGGACAGATTGTCACTATTATGATATCTGTAAAAAAGCAGAATGGCAGTGACATTATCAGTAATACAGGACAGGTAACTGAAACATATGAAGCTGAGAAAAAAGTGAAAGTTTTCCCGTCATTGGTTGGCTCTATTGCGCAAACTAATAAGAATTAAAATGAACTGAGAGGTCGTGCTTCCCTTAAGCAGCATCATTCAAGGGTACAGCCCACGTTTTCTTTGTTATACAGATGACACTCAGGTTTATCTATCCTCGAAGCCTGACGACACAAACCTGCAAAAGTGTGCGTTAAACGGCAGGAATGTCTTAAAGACATATAGACTTGATGACCTCTAAATTCCGATGAAACTGAGGTCATTGCACTTGGCCCTAAAAATCATGCAAACATATTGTCTAACCTAATTATCTGGGCTTCTACTAACACTGTGAGATATCTTGGAGTTGTTTGACCAGAATTTGTAATTCATTGTTATCGGGCTGTCTTAAAAACTCCCTGAACAATCTTAAAAAAGGAATCTTGTTCACCACCACACCATGGTCATGATAAAAGAAAATATTTGATGAGATCAGTACATTGCAGCATTGACCGTATTACTGATGTTCGTACAATGGTGATATGAATTCCCCAACCATGCCTTTATAATGTGGGAGTCAACCAGTAGGATCACTGTCCATCATCATAGTCAGTAAAGTCACGATCAACATCTAACACGACACCACTAAAAATGACAAATGTGGCCTTGAAAAAAACAAAAAAAACAACTTCTGCAGACCCTTTCTTCCTGGCGTTCCTGGAATTCCATCTATAGTCCCTGGTCCTGGTAAACCGGGGCGTCCCCTTGTTCCTGGTAACCCAGTAGCACCAGGTCGTCCGGGAGTTCCTTTCATCCCAGCAGGCCCTGGGAAACCTGGTTCTCCTCTTCCTCCTTTCCGACCAGGGAAACCTGCCAATAATGGAAGGAGGGACAGTGAGAAAAACAAAACACTGACAACAATCTGACATTCTGATTGATAATTAGCTGCTGGCTAATTATCTGGAAAAGCATGCAGTCTTCGGGTGCTTACCAGATTTTAAAATGACACAAATACAACCTCAAATGAACAACAACACATTTCATAATGTAGTCCAAAAGTCAATAGTAGTTAGCATCACCTTTAGCAACAATAACTTGATAATGTTCTGCATGATTTTATCAGTCACATCATTTTCTAATAATCTTGGCTCAGTATTCTTGACAGCGTTACTTCAGTTAATGAAGGTTTACAGAAATTAATTTATGCACAAGTGAACAGAGCATTTAAGTCAGGTTGAGGTCTGGACTTCAACTGGGCCTTTGTAGCACATTGTCTCTTTTCTTCTCATGTAAATTTGCTGCTTTGCTTGGGATCACTGTTCTGTTGCATGACCCGATTTATACCTTTATAATATCTGTATGTCATGGTCCTGGGTTTGTGACCCAGTGTTTGTGTTTTCTGGTTTAATTTATATTGGTTCTGTTTCCATGTCTCCCCTGTGTCGATGCTCCATCACGCATGCTAAGTTCTGTCTCCATGTTTATTCATCTGTTTCCCAGTCGTGTCTCTCGCTGCCTTGGTTCCCCGTGTTCAGTTAGTCCATGCTTTAGTGTGTGTGTCTCATGTTTCCTGTTTTATTTTGATAGTCTGTTGTCCTGTCTGTTATCTCTGATTAGTTCCAGCTGTATTTCCCCCTGTTTCCCATCATCTCGTTATCCTCTGTGTAATTAGTCTGCTGCCTGTTTTTTCGTTACTTAGTAACGCAGTAACACGGTGAGCGTACGGTAAAGTAAGAGTAATCTAATTACTTTTTTGTAGTAGTAATCCCTGACTTTTCTCTCTACTTGAAAAAGTAATCGGATTACATCACTTTTAACGCATTACTGCCCATCTCTGCTAATGACCTTTAACATGACAACTGAGCCCTGTAGAGTCTGAGATTACCTCTTGCACATATTCACTGAGCATTGCAGGACTGATTGAGGGCGAATTTGCTGGTAGGACCGCTCCTACACTTTTTACGCAATGCTTCTTCTTTTTGCTTTTGTTTTTGTTTATTAAATACACAATGCAACATGTTTTGTAGTTCATCTGAGGCTGTGTTTGCTTAATTTTAAGACCTGCTAAGGACCAGACTATCTTTATTATGTTCTTATAGGTACAACCTTAGAATTTAAGAGGCTAATCTTTCTTTTTGACCATAACTGTATCATAATATAATAATATGTATTATTATCTTTTGTATGATGAATACACTTACCTCCAACTATCAGGTTTTAACCTAGTTTTTCTATCTTTTAACACATATTAAAGCAGCCTTGCAAACAGCAACAACAATGCCATCACACATTTCTTTACAATACTTCATTGCTGCGATTGGGCTGTAATTGCACCCAGATTGCAGATTTTGTTGCAGAGATATGAAAGCTCAGTGTGGCTAATTTTGATACTCACATTACAGGAGAACCAGCCGATTGGTAATCATACTGTTTCTGAGTGCAATTCCAGACTAGCAAGGTTAAGCCATCTAAAGCACACTAACTGCTACTGTTTACATTCTTAAAATGAACCCATTTTCAGCACATCTGTGCTGCAAAGTTGCAGCTTATCACTTTTTGATTAATGCAAGGATGCGCTGAAAATAAGAAGTCCTTTTAAGAGTGTAAAATAAAAAGCTTCTAGCTTTGAGTTAAACAGCGTTTGCCCCCAAATCTTCAATTTTCACACAAACCTGTTACAGTTAATTCATCAAACACATCTGGAACTGATTAGACAGAAACACTTAGTTCACAATGAGGTTAGTCGTTTCTGCAAGTAAGAACAGCAAACAGTGGCTTTCACATTTCCAGCGGAAATGCTTTGTTTACAGAACTGTTACAAAATATCCATCTGGTTCAGTCTTTCTGTGGGGTGTGATGATGTCATTTCCTTCTAGCATCATAGCTTTATGTACTTTAAAATAGTTATTGATGCAAACACAGTCAAATGGCACGATTTCATGAAGCACCTCATCAAACATAGGCAAAAGTCATCGTCTCTTAGATAATGAGGTAACACTATGTTTGGAGGAGCTGCTCCACCCTCTCCCAAAAGACAAAAATAAATAAAGAACAAAAATAAAATTAAATAAATAAATTAATATCCCATTCAATTAATCAAAAATAATTTGAAAATAATAAATAATATAGGCATTAATGTTTTACTTTGCCTCTGTATTCATTCACCTTCATATTAATTTCTTTCCTTTACCATCTTTTTTTTCCAGAGACGTGGTGTTACACCCCATATGAGACTCCACGACTGCACTGTGGAGATGGACATTTGTGTGCAGCACAGATGAGAAATGAAGGCAGCAGTTCAAGTGTTTGTTCTAATACACCAACAGCAAGAGGATGGAGGAAATGCAAGCCAAGGGTGGCGCGGCTGGGAGGGAGGAGAGATGGACAATGGGACGAGGGAAAGAGTGTCTCACCTGGGCAGCCTATAACGAGTGACCCAACACCAACAAAAAAAGGATGGAGGGATGAGAGGATGGATGGAGATGATGATGGTGGTGGTGGTGTTGGAAAAAAAGATGAAAGTGACAAGGAGGAAGAACAGAGACATGGAAAAATACAACAATACAAAAACAAAGAGGGAGAAGACATTCTCGTGGGTGATGCAGTGTTTGATAAACAACAACACGATTCAAACGGGCAACTGTGATGATGGATGACTGTGAAAGAACGATGTGAAAAAAAGAGGAATGAACCAGAGCTGGTTCAGGGATGAGAGGTGAAGGATTTCAGTAGAGATCACAACAAAGCCATATTTCACCTTCTTTTGCAATAATTCACACTAAGAATCTCACACTAAGGTACAAATTCGAGTGTAAAATGTGCAAAAAATATAACAAAACCCCCAAATCATTTTTTTTTCTCTCACCTGGTGGTCCTCTCAGACCCTTGCTACCATCAGGGCCAGGTGGACCAGGAGTGCCACCATTTGGGTCACCTGGAAGCCCAGGAAGGCCAGGATTACCAGGAAAACCGTTAACTCCGCGTTCTCCTTTTCGACCAGGAGCACCAGGACGTCCATCAAATCCTTCAAGAACAGACTTTGTTTACAAAGTGTTGCTTGCAGAAGCATTTGAATGCTAAGTCAGCTGACATTTGTTATTTCAGGACACCCATCGAATACTATGTTTTTATTTGGTTTTATTAAAACAGGTAACTGACTTAAATCCTGCTACCCACCAGGCATTCCGGGTCCTCCAGGTATTCCCGGCTGGCCCTTGTCTCCAGGAATTCCTGGTAAACCGTTCTGACCAGGAAATCCAGGTGTAGCTCCTAGCACCTCTCCAGGCTGGCCCTTGGCTCCAGGACGGCCTGGGAGACCGTCCTTACCCCTGGGCCCATCAAAACTCTGCCCTGGGATACCTGGAATACCAGGGTCCCCTCTGGGTCCAGTGAAACCTGCAGGGAATGACATGAGCAACGCATTAAAATGCACAACAGTGAAGTTGGAAGCACCCTCTCTATCACTCTCTCTGTGACAGGAAGTTGCAACCAACCAAGGTTAAGGACAGGAAACCGCCA